GTGTGTGTGTGTGTGTGTGTGTGTGTGTGCGTGTGTGTGTGTGTGTGTGTGTGTGTGCTTGCGCGCGCAAGCCATTAAGTCTTAATGGTAAAATGACACCAGGGAGGCTTTTTGGGCCATTTAGCTTTGGATCAATAATGTGAAGCATTGGGGTTTCTTGACATCTCATTTTAGGCTTATGTCCCGTCAATGGGTGGGATATATATATATATATATTTTTTTTAAATTGTGGTGGACGACTAAAGTGCAGTGCGGGATCAAGAGGCGTTTTGATCAAGCTGATTGGGGAGAGAGAGGGTCTCTATTAGGGTATTGATCAGTGACTCATTCTGCTTGAGATCATAAGCCAAACAGAGTGACACAGAGAAGACAAGAGGGAATTGATGGACAAGAAGAGCTTGTGAGCATGACTCCAGTGCCACATGAGGTGAGCCCATCGCTTTCATTCAATTATCTGCAGCATTTATTTTTGAAATGCTCCTTCAATAGATTCAAGTGGAATTTTGTGTCTGTTCTAAATGTCATAAATAAAGAGGGGGCCGAACATAAATTTAATTTCATTTGATTATATTTACCAGTACATGTTTTTCCCCCTGGCATATTTTTGTTTTCCTCTTTCCTTCCTTCCCACAGATTTGATTTTTATTCCTGCATTCTTACTTTCATCCTTCCTTTATCGAAATGTACTTTTCTGCTTGTCTCTCTTTGTTCCTGGTCGGGGCAAGCGCAGTTTGCAGTGTGACTAAACAGTTCCAAATACACATTCTAAAAAAAGAACACATTTTGTTGAATTGGAATTTGATTAGAATTGTTTAAAAATCAAATTATAATTGACTACATACAAAAAAAAGACATTTTCAGATTTTCTGTGAAGATTTTAAGAAATCATTCTTGAATTATAATTCTGTATTTCTGTGGAAGTTGACGCAAGTTAATGCTGGGGGGGAAAATTGCTGGAAAAAAACTTGGCATCAGGGGAAAAAAAAAATAGCAGAAGGGGAAAAAAAAACTGAGATCAAAACTTAGAACCATTGGCTTTCGAAATTAGAAATCGGATTTTTGTCAGAAAAAAAACCCTGAGATTTTACGTCAAAGCCAGATTGCCCAGCCCGAACTGGGATTTATTTATTTCAAGCATCTGTCAAGAACTTAACATCTTTTAGCCTCTCTTCAACCTCTTGCCACAGCCCCGCTGAGCCCCTCACGAGTGCCCTTCCACACACCTTCCTTCACCTATCACAGATGTGACAGGAATACGAATGCAAGCCCATCCTCCCTTTCCTCCTCCTCCTCCCTCCCTCCGTCCGTCTCTATCTGACTGCTCACCTCCAAGGACACAGACAAAGACATCTGCCTGATAAGGGGGAGCCATCTCGCCACCTGCCTGCCTGTTGACTGTTTGTGCGCCATTGAACGGCCGTCACCACAGGCAGAGATGCTTCAACACCAAAAAATGATCCCCCGTTGTTCCCAGTGACAACCGTGGGGAGGGAAGTGCATGCAGATGATTGGGATGCACCAATACAACTGATGAATTATGAGCAAAACGTAGTTGGTCAGCTCTTATCTTGACGGAGTCGATCAGTGTGATGAAGTTATGGTCATTTCTGCATGATGAGCAAGTGCCCCACCATGAAAATTTGTTCATGACATTTCTGTCATCAAGAAAGAGTTGGAATGTATTGTATCAACTTTTGTTGTTTCCTCGGCCTACCCATCTCTCTGTTTCTTAGATTTCCGGTCACCAGAGTCCAGCCTTAAGTGGGACACATGAAATTCATGGTGGGAAGGGGGGCACGGGGGGTTGGCAATAATACACTACAGTCAAGAGATCACTAAAATTTACATTCACATAGCACCACCGATCCCAGCTTTTGCGTCAAAAGCAAACAAGTACCGTCACAGACAACATTTACACTACATCTACAAAGATCCCATCTTGAGTACGTCGACTCTGCAGCCCTATTGGATGTGGCAAAGTGAAGCAAGTTGTGAAGATGCTTTCTCCTTGGAGATGGATCATCAAGCAAAAACTCACTAAATTAATACGGAATTATTGCTTTTGATTGAATGATGTCATCCTTGCTCAGTTTTACCATTTTATTTGCTGAATTTACGACAACTATTATAGGCCACATACAATAAATATGGCAGATGGGCTCACATGTCGCTTCGACCCGGTTCAACAATTGTCTGCTACAGAATTGAAAAGAAAAACTTGCAGAATATTTATATTAATTCTAGATTGCCAAAGAGTTTATGGCTCCCATGGAATTCGTTTTAAACAGTTCAAATGCCTGTTTAGGTGTTGACACTAATGTGATGTCCTGGCACCCGTCGTCTTTCCGTGCTGCCACGCAGCCTTTTCACACTGAGCAAGTGAAGTGTGAAAAGGTCTTAAGGGGCCGAACACAAAGTACGATTAAAAAGCTAGAACCCCCACTGGTTATAGGACACACTTGGATAAGATAA